AATGGCTTAACCACAGAGCCTTGATGCTAGAAGAGGTTCTATTAATCATTTTTGCTGCATCGTTTTCTCTGCTTGTGCTCTAAGCCTGTTCCTGGGAGCAGTATGCTGCACTGGGTGTCAGGGCTCATGCTTTGCCTATGCCTTCAGGATCAAGTTTTAGGTTTGGACAGCCTGTAAGTCTTTGGGCCACTCATCTACTTAAAGATGAAAATCTTTGCTTCAGTTTAATCATTAGGATTCTAGGTATTCAAAGTTCAAAAATGGGCAAAACTATCATACTTGGGGACTCATCCTTAGAGGATAAACCTATAAAGAAAAGCAAAGAAGATGATTACTATCAAAGTCTGGATAGAAGCTCTGGGTCAGGGGAGTAGAAACAGACTCAGGCACTGTGAGGTAGTAACATCAATCTCTCTTTCTTTAGCTGGATGGTAGCTCCACAGGTAACCACAGGCATTAAATAAGTTGCCAAGTTGTACATTCATTGTATATTTTTTCAATGCATGTATTATTTTCTATCATTAAACAAAAGCTTAACCCAAATCATCCCACTAGGCAGAGCTGCCAGAGTGTATTTGACCAAGAGCAAGGCTCTGAACAGTTCAGGATCCATTTTTCTCTTCTTCCTTCGTCTTTCATCTGTAAACGAGGCTACCATCCCTACAGTCTCCTATATGCCGCGGCGGATGTGCACACATGTGCCTACTTGTACTGCAAGTACTGCTCTGACTCTAGGCAAAATGCCCTTCTAATCTGACCTCCTTTGGTCTAGTCTGACCTCCAAAGAACTCCCCTTGGGATTCAAGAATATACAAGGCACAGGAGCATGATTTTACTTCCATTCCTCCTACAGAGCCAGGCTGGAGAGGGAGTGTTTTTCCCATTTACCCAACATTCTGCCTTTTCAATTACTACATACCCCAGACAGACAGCATGCACGAGCCTGATTCAACCTCAGGCTAAGATACAGTGCTCCACTTCATGGATCTGAAGACTCTCCTGTCAGCACAGTGCCCCACTGCCTGGGATTGTCTGGTGTAGGGAAACCTCCCTGGGGTGGAACCTTTCCTAACTGAACTGTAATCCTATTTAATAGGACATATGGGATACAGCCACAGTTCTGCCTAGAAACTCCTCTGGAAGAATTATTGTTTTTAAGTTCTGGTTAGGAAAAACTGATGCTTACAGGGCAGACAACAAGGACTTGAAGGAACTTCTGAGGTTGATTAGAAAGAGCCTTGGACCAAAACCAGAAGGCCTGAGCTCCCAGCCTTGTGCTTGCTTCTTTGCTCTTGATGTTAGGCAAGCCATGGAATTTCCTGAGGTTTCACATCCTGTCCAGCTCACAGGAACAAATCACTAAATGTATATGGAATGTCTTAAAAACTGTAGAATGCTATACAAATAAATGGATTATTATAAAAGTCCAATGTTTGCTACTAAATGTAAAAGTTTTGAAAAAAAGATACCCTTGTCACTATAGCTGTGATCATTAGGACAAAACCTCAGCTACTACGTTCATGCACAGAAGTGCCATCTTGCTGGTCCAGTGCTACACCAGATCCACCCCATTCCTACCCTCAACCAGAGGAGGCTTAGCTGCCAGAGGGGCTGAAAATGGGCCTTTCTACGAGTCCCGCCCACCGGCCCCCTCCATCGCTGGGTGCCTGACCTTGGCCTCCAAGAACTGTAATCCTCTCCCAGAGCTATCTTTCCCAAGCTGGGTTCACAGTACAAAATGGAAACTATGTGGTTACCAAGGTCAAGTGGAAGCAGAAAAGAGGGCTGACCCTCCCACTCCTATAGAAATACAATTGTTTTCTTAAAGGGGTATCATCACACATTTGGGCAGTTCTGGGGGACTCTGGGGAACAGAGGTGCTTTCCAGCTCTGGACCCTGGTTTGATTCTTTCTGAATGAATACGAAAGAATCAGAAAGCAGCTGTAACTGAAAGGCTCCCATCCTTTGGGAGTGGGATGACATCATTTCAGCTGGAACACCAGAGAAGGAAAGAACCAGGGTGCCTAGTGGCCTACTCCTCCAGGCAGTCCCTCTGGTGAGAGTGGGCAGGCTAGAGGGGGCTGATGCAGTTCATGTGGCCACCTCACCCTGTCTCCAGACTCAGGCTGCAGGTCCCTGATGCTTCTCATCACACTGAAGTGATCGTGGACTTTACAACCCCTCTAAGAGCAATGTTTGTTTTCTGAAAATACCTCATCATAGCATGGAAGGCTCCAAACCTAAGGGTGGGTGGAAAAGGAAATGGGCTTCACCTTCTAGGGAGATCTTTTTTTAAGACAGGCCTTTTTATGCAGCCCAAGATGGACTCAAATGCATGATCTTGCCTCTGCTTCCTAAGTACTGGGATTAGCTGCATGGGCCACCATGCCTGGATTTCTGGGAACATTTTTTAAAGTTTTAAATATACTTATTTATTTGTTTGTTTGTTTGTTTGTTTATTTATTTATTTATTTATTTATTTATTTTTTTATTTATTTATTCGTGGGGTGTGTATTTGTTTGCAAGGGTGTCATTGTGGAATTCGGAGGCCACTTATTGGCCTTTTGTTTTTTTTTTCACCATG